AGCACCATTTTAACCATGAGAGCCAAAATGCTTAGACATAATGTCAGTATGTCAGTGTAAGCATGCTCCTGAGTTCCACAATTCTGAATGAGTCATTTCCCACTTTCTCATTGTCAGTGACAGATGAATGACAAAGCATTCATGTTAAAGGCACCAGTTTCAACATTGCAAGGTTCAGCATTGCAGTTCACTGGCAAAAGAAAGCACTCACATGCACAAGTAACTTCTTTAGATATCAAAACACAGTACAGTAGCAAACCAATACACCACATTGTTAGGAAAAAACAATAAAATGGCAATACAGGAACAACAAAATTACAACAAAATGATTTACTGCACAAACCAAAAATACAACAATGTTAATTGTCAGTGGGGCAGGTGTCCGATGGACCCAGGATGCCCTGCATCATGCTGCCACAGACACTACCCACATGTTGGAGCAGTTACACATTGACCGTGACCCAAGCTGAGTCCAATCAACGGTCCAAGAGGCTCCTGGGCGCCCTGCTGGGAGCTGCAGCAGCTGGAATGACCGCGGACCTTCTTCCAATAGATATGCATGTTTTGTGTGGTAATCAGAGCATCGCACACCTGCAGGAGGTCTCGTTGTTTGACTGGCTTGTTCCCTGATGTCTTGAAGCCATTCTGCTTCCAGTGAAGGAGATGGCACCTGAAGCTAAGACGTGTGTAGTCGGAGTCTGTGCAGATCAGCAGGTCCTGTACTCCACATTCGGAGGCCACCTCCAAGGCGGTTAAGATTGCTGCCAGCTCTGCGTACTGCGACGTGTGAGGACTGACCTTGAGCTGTTGTGGTGGGACAGGGTTGTCGCTGAGCCACAGAATGCCTGCTCCAGCTTTCAGGGTCCCCTTATGTTTGAATGCACACCCATCTACATAAACAGTGATCATGTCTTGACAGACGTTTTCATCAAAGTAGTGGTGTTGCGAGGGTTCCATTGGCGTTGGCGTGTCCAAAATGCTGGGGGCTGCTGGTCCCTCCTGAGAATAGTTTTGGCAGCTGGGTGACTGTACTGCATCGGGTTGGGCGGTTATGGCATGGATTGTCAGGTGTTGGTTGTCAGCAAGCTCGACGTAACATATAGTCCCTTTTGTCACTGGTGACTTTTCCACCCCCATGGTCATTACCACATCTGTGACTTCCAT